CGCCCCCCGGCCCCGCTCCGCGGCCTCCAGGGCTGCGTCCCTCCGCCTGGGCCGCCCGGGCTGGCGGGGCTCCAGGGCCGCCTCCCACCTCGGGGAGCTTTTCCTGTTAAACACGGAGAAATCCGGGACGGGGCCGTCCGCAAAAGTCCAGTGCCCCCTCCCAGCTGCTGCTGCTCAGAAGCTTCAGGGACAGGGGGCGGCAGGACCCCGTGAGCCAAATAGAGCCCTTTGTGTCAGGTCGTCACCAGGCACAGGCCACCGGGCAGGTGCCACTAGAGTTAACAGTAATTAACCCACGTTATTCGTTTAGCAACAATATGTCTAACACTAAGTTACTCAAGAAAGCCAGGACACTGTCAGTGGACTTGGATTCCTGGAAAACTGGGCAGACAAAACCTCTGACCACCTCAGAGAGAGTTGGATTTCAGGAAATATCATAGTTTGGCTTGTTCTGTAGATGTTCAACACTGTTAGGAATAAACCCCACTGCAATCAGGGGGAAGCAGGGTGAAGAGGGAGCAGCGTGCTTTCCCTGCCTAATCTATTAGAGTTATTACATTAATTAATGTTTACTCCAGATTAAATACAATATCTGAGATAGTAACTGCAAATTGGGCACCCAGCTCTCTATAGGTAACAATAAACTAATCTGATATCCTCTTGTTCTGCTCCACTCCCTTTACAGTGATAATGTTGGACTCCAGTCCTTCAGGCAGCTGCTGCCATGGATGAGATTGCAATTGCAATTGCAGATTTTATTTTCCATAAAGTAAAGAAAGTGGAGCAATCTTCTATAAACTCCCATAAATTAGAGAGTTTCTAAGAGGAAATGAATAGCCCCTTTCTCCCTCCCTTTTTCAAAATCTAGTGACAGAAACCAAACTCTGATGCATCTTGAGGTATCAACACAGGACACATCTGCCGTGATTTATAGTCTTATTGCTACAACTGTTAATAACAGATGTCCTCATTTTTTTTAAGTGGCTTTGTTAGGCTTATTAAGCACAGTGGTTATAATGCTGCTTAAGTCCTTCCAGTAGGAAAAAGAAAAAAGCAAACACATTTTCAATCTGCAGAAAAATCAAAATGTCATCTCTCTAATATTAAGAAACTCTCAAGTGATTTTAAGATGACTAGGCCAATGTCCTTTACCATTCATCAGATTTTGTCAGAGTTGCAAAGAAAAGCATTCAAATACTATTTTGGGCAATAGCAGTAGGATGAACACAGTCATGCAAATGCCAGCTCCCGTTTCCTCTGTGAACACACAAGTTCAAAGTTTGAACTTGAATTTGACAGGCAAGTTTGACAGGCGCCACTGCCAGTGCTGGTTGTGCTGGTGTAGAAGCACTGGCAGCTTGAGGGGTTCAATGGGAATTGCTTTTAGTGAACTAGCTGAACCAAAGCAAAGACAGTCCCTAGGAGCACTGTAGAAGAAGCACAGGAGGAAAAGGCTAAATTTCAGTACACCCCTGGTAGCTGCTTGTGTGTGGAGATGTGTGGAGAGAGGGGAAGGAAGGAGGCTGAAGGAGGGGGATGCACTGTGCATCTTCCAGGTGACACACATGCACAGGCCCATTTTAAGGGTGGCTTCCAGGCCTGCAGCTTTGCTTGGAGTAAAGAAATGTGGCTGTGTGGCCACGGCCTCCTGGTTTTACTGAGAAATGCTCTACACAAGCTGGGCATGGTGGCCTCCTCCTGCAAAGCTGCCACTCTGATTTATACAAGGAAAGTTGGCTGTATCTGGTATTAACAGGCCTGGCTGTCTGCCTGCATACTTGACCTGAGAGCAGTCCCTTTCCCTCTCTGCCGTTTAATCCAGTCCCTCCACAATTTTAGTGCACAGGAATTGGGAACATGCCCGCACAAAACACCTGCTGCTGCACTCGCCCAGTGTGCCATGCGGGAAGGTCCTGATCTGTGAGCAGCCATGCCAGAAGCTCGGTCATATCCGTGGAGCAGAACCATTGCGAGGAAGTCGGGGGGCAGGAGAAGGCCCCAGAGCGCTCGGATGCACTCAGGGACTGCGAGGAAAAGGAGGGAGCAGCCGCCAGCCCAGCGCCTGCCCTCAGGGCTGCGCTCGTCCGGCTGCGGGGCCGGGGGTCGGCGGCCGCGCTTAATCCGGTCGTGGCGGGGATTAACG